GCTGTCGTCGAAACATCCACGCTTAATGTGCAAATTTCTGAGCTGCGCAAGCGGAAGAGGACGGCAGAGGGCCTGGATCACCTCGTCATGACACTGCCTAAAGTGAACGTGGCGCCAACTGAGTTCGACTTTGAGCCAGCCAACAGAGGCGGGGCTGAAGGTGATGTCCCTTGGGTAGAGCGCAGGATGTATCAATTTGGTTTTCGGGACGGTACTCCAGGCTTCGATGAGGACACCGTCTCCTGGGCCCGAGCTCTGCACCAGAAGGCTTTTGATCAGGGGAGCGCTCGAGTGTTTGCTGGTGCTTGCAATCTCTCGCACGACAGGTAAATGCTGACATACGTCGTGAACAAGTTGTAATGTCGGCGAGCCTACTTCCGGAACGTCTTTGCACTTCGCAACGAGATGAACGATAGTGTTTGGAGGTACAACAACATGTTGCAAAAAAATTGCACATTCATCGATCGTGCCGACGGTACGCAGTCTGCGAAGACGGGGTAAGCTGACACCGGGTTTTTCGATAGAACCCGTAACCGAACTAGCTGGGAGAGTGTTCTCCAAATCGAGCACCTCAAGCTGTGGCATTCCAATCAACGCGCCGATGAATTGGTCGAGCGTAGGCGCGGGAGCACCGGGACTGTGGACCTTCAAGAAACTGATGTTGACATTCTGAAACAAGGTCGAGTCCCAGCTGAGATGGCAGCGTGTCAATTCAACATGAGACAAACGAGATGCGTCGCCCGCGAGGAAGTCATCCGGGAGCATACACGGCTCAGTGAGCGGATGGTAATGATAGTCATTACGTCCAACATCAAGGGTTAAGGTGCGCAAAAAAGGAGCAGCACGGTTGACATCACCCAAGAGCTTGACCATGTTATCTCGGGAGGCAGACAAACGGATTTCGTGAATTCTAGGAAGATGCTTCAGACCTTCGCTAACGGCGTCAAGGACTCGAGGTGTCAGCCAGATGTTCGAGTTGACTTCGATGGTGAGTGGGGCCATTTTGGAGCGTTTGATCATCTCGTGCGCCCATTCTGTCCTTGTGAACTCTGGCTTGCTCCACAAAGCAGGGCAGTTGAGAGCAGTATTGCGCCAAAGACGAGATATGTGCGTAACGGTGACCCACCGCCAATGGGGATTGTAAGAGGCATAGTTCGAGGGAGTTTCAGGGACATTGCAAAACATGAAAATTGCACAAAGGATTTCGGCTGGGAGTTTGGAGATAGGGGCAAGAAGATTACGACGAAACTTGAGTTCGCGAACAGCTTCCTCGTATCGCAGTATTTCCTGGTCTATTTGGTCGAACTGGAAATTACTAGCATTTTGGGGGGTCGTGTCTGAGTGGCGTAGATGACAATCAGTATGGGAAGATACGACGAACAAAGAACAAGACGAACGAGTCATCAAAGTAGACGATGAGCTGATGGTATGGTTTTGAAAATTGAAAGGCGAAGGTGATGGGAGAACTAGGCCAGCTAAAATTCTACTCGCTGGGGTGTCCATTTTGAGCAAGGGAGGTTATATACGGGCTCGGTTACAGCCACGAGGAACAGCTGTTGATGGTGATGGTGAGGGAAAAAGGAATGAATTGCAAATTTATGGAGAAAATTTATTGGTTGACAAGGGTCACACGGTCAACCGCGTTTCACCCGCAACTGCCTTTGAAGTTTGTATCCTTTCGCGCTATGGACTCCTCCGAGCTGTATCATGTCAAACAGCAATTTGTACTGGGTAACGTCGTGCTCAATGCCTGTAAAGCTTTCTCTTCTCACTCTATCCTCCTAGGCGCATACAAAACTGTCGTTGACTTGACTCTACCGGACCCCAATTCCCCGGATTTTATCCCAACTTTGATTTACAAGGCTCGCTCTCATATCGCACTTAATGACCCGAAAGCTGCCCTGCAACTCGTCCCCGCTGACTCTGAAAACGTCGCTCTGAAAGCTGTGACATCTCTAGCGAAATTCGTGGCAGCAGAAGGTACATCGAACAGTGAATCTGCGTTGGAAGAACTACGCGATCTCTCCGTCGAAATTGAGGGCGACGATGTAGAAGGCACTGATCGTGACAAGGCCACCGTCAGAGTTCTGGCTGGAACAGCATTTGCGAGAGCAAGCGAACTCGAAGAAGCTTTAGAGACTCTTGGAGCTGATACTGAAGATCTCGAAGCGTTCGTAGTCCTCCATTTCTTCTCTTTCAGTTGCGGTCATACTGACCCTTCGGTACAACAGTGTAGCCGTCATCGTTCAAATATACCTCTCTATCAACCGTCCTGACCTTGCCAAGAAGGAGTACGAACGCTCAAAGCGTTGGGCAGAAGATGACCTCCTTCTCCAACTCATCGAATCAATCATCGGCCTCGTTACAGGCAAAGACGAATACCACAACCCTTATACCTTCTATACCGAGCAGCTAGGAAACCCTTCGTTATCTTCACCACACGTACTCACCGCCAGAGGCGTGACACGTATTCTCCGAAACGAATTTCCGGAAGCACAATCGGATTTAGAAGAAGCTCTAACACAACATACGGACGCGGAAACTTTGGCTGCTTTCGCTGTCGCGTCAGGGTTAAGTTCAACCAAGAAAGGCGAAACAGACGCGAATGAGCTCTGGACGTGAGTTCATCCTATCTGATTCACAGCTGAACGACTCCACGCATTTATTGATGTTCGACCCATTAGTCGCTTATCCTCCGAGTATCCCAAACACCCAAGTGTCGTTGATATAGCGAAGAAGTCCACTCTCTTCGATGAAGCAATGGCCAAATACTCTGTTCCTCCGTTAGCTGCGAGTGCGGCTTAGCAGTCTCGGCGGCACTCAATTGGGAAGGGCTTTCTCGGGCTACAGCTGTGTGCTATATACTAGATTCTTGTCTCATGAAGTATATTGGAATCCCGAGTCACTCACAGACCTTTCGTAGAATTATATCCGCGCGGAATTGCGATTTATATCCTGAAACACAGTCTGCACATTCCGACCTCCAATGACAGAATACTTAATGCCAGAAATGAAGTATCGTCGGAAGAAAGGTTCGAGCAATGACTTGGAATGGCTTCAAATATGCTATGAGCCCCGGTCTGCTTACTATCAAAGTCTGCGTATATTCTATACACAGCGCTTGAATTCCGGTTTCATACCATTCAAGCCCTGGAAGTTGATGAAAGCTTGAAGCTTGCCTCACTCTCAGCGATCAGAATTTGTAGATGAGCTGATGAGATGAGTGTGCCAGTTGACAACATTGAACCTTTGCTGTTAAAGTATACTGCAGAGTCAAGCAAAGCCTGTGTCAAGTACGTCGAACAACAACCCTTCCTCGTCGAGTGTTGTGTACTTCCCGAAGACAGTATGGTAGCAGTTAATAAACAGCTAGCGGAATGTATGCGTTATCCAACTCCTAGGCTTGTTGCCACTTGCGATACTTAGACACTGTCAGTGACTGTGCGGTTCGGGAGACGACCTGGGGTTAGGGGTACCTGTACGTAAGCAACAATCTTACCCCGCTGTAAGTCTGACCCCTTTCCTTTGCAACCTTATCATCTAACCATAACCATGCCAGTACCAAAACGCTCCTCCTCTAGCTACACCAAACAAACCCGGCTTTCTTTTCGCAGCTCTAAAGGCTCAGGCTCAGGCGCCCTAGCTAGCAAGAATGACAAACCTCAAAATAAAAAAGCTCGTCAGATGAAGGCTGAAGAGACCGAGGATATCTCTTCCAGCTCCGAGTCGAGTCTTGATGATGTGGAAGAAATTGAAGACCCGGATGTTGGATCTCGATCGCATACGCCTTCGCTGAAAAGAAAACGGAGTGCTGTGGTCGACAAGACGGATAAGAAGGTGAAAGCTCAGACAGAAGATTGGATTGGTATGTCGTATGGTCCACTAGTAGTAGATGGATGATCTCAAAGAGCACTATTTTGGCAGACATCGACTCAGTCCCAATTAATCAAAGACCAGAACTGATCGTCAACGACGCTCGTTGGCGGAAAATAGCTGCTAAGGCACGAGAGGTCAACGGTAACCTTCAACTGGGTAATTATCTTGCCAAGTCCGTCTGCATTGCCCGGTACTCATGTTAATCTGGCTATTAGTTCATGCTGAAAAAGAGAACAAAATTCATGATATTCTCCGTGTGTTCGACCTGTACGTCTTTCCTCTTTCGTCGTCTCCTCCAATCTAACCTTACCCCTGCTCGTGCAGTTCCTACGAATACGGCCCCTGTTACGGTGTCTCCCGTCTTGACCGCTGGGAACGAGCGCATGCTATGGGTCTCAGCCCTCCTGTCGAGGTGAATGTTCAAACATACCTATGCGAACCCTTGAAGTCGATATGAACCAAACACTCATCATTATATGCTCTCCTTTTTTGCCGCATAGATACGCGATATTCTTCTGACCCGCCAAGGTGTAGAAGATCCTCGATATGCTCACACTGTGTTTTATAATCAATCCGAACGGATTTAAATTGGTGTGTCTGTTCGTGATTTTGAACTTATCCATACACAGAGGTTGACTTTTTCGGAAGCTTTTCCTTTGCTGGTTTGTAGTATATCCCTGGTTTGCTTGTCATGTATATCGCTTTAATTGCCTGCTCGTCTCTCTCATTCAAAGTCTTCCCCCCATGAGTACCGATTTTACTCAGATCTCGTCACTGTAATTTACAGTACGCTGTATGAGGCTGTGTAGTACAATCCTGTCTTCTAATGCTATCGTTGTTGTCAATGCTCGTTAGTGGCCTACATCAGGATTGAAGTCAGGCAACAGAGTCATATCACTGAAATGGCGCTTGCGGTCAACAGTACACGTCGGGAGCAGAGCTAGGCAACTATTCTGAAGTTGATGCTTCAAGCGAGGTAAAGACGACTTTCAATCTTGTTGAAAAGACGAAACTGCTGTTGGAGTGAAGCAAAATCTTGCATGATCTGTGTATAAAAGAATGTATGCTGACTGAGAGTGACCTCGGTCGTTCAAAAGTATAAAAATAAGCCACAAGGCCGAACATGGACACACTGGGAATTGAACCCAGCACCCCCCGCAAAGTGACAACAATCTTCCAAATTATGATGCTAAGCGGATGTGATAACCAACTACACCATGTGCCCTCATAATGATTTACCCACAGTGAATGCCCTCGAGCAGATAACGTTACTTTTGACTTTTGAAGTTTCATGAAGTTGTTGAACCATTGGACTCAGGTTTTGACGGCAAAAAACACCGAATATTAGATCAGATTATCAGAAAGCCCAAGAGCACATGGTGCAGTCTGTCGGGATTTTCCCTGGTACTGGAATACTCTTGAACAGAGCCGCCCCGCAAGTCGCGACCCACAAGTCAAGCTATGGAGAGAAAACTTGAACAGGACACGATTGTGTGCTCCTGGCATCCGAAATGGGTGATCTTTGAATTTACGTTGAGTACTTACTCTTCTCCATGAGTGAGAAATTCCAGGAGATTCTTGACGCCACACAGCAGGTAGAAGGGAATAAGTAACCGGGAAAATGAATGTAGAATGAACTCTTCTCGTCATTCTGATTATCTGTTGGTTGCTGGCTCATTCAAGCAGTGTACAGACCTGCTATGCTCTTGCTATGTACGTGGTCACCGGTCAGAGCTTGCTGTTGGAAATAAAGAGGAAGCTGTATCAAAATGAGTTGTTTGCTGTGCTGTTATTCCTTTGCCGGGATGCCAATGAATGCCGAAGCGCCGTTATAAATCACTCAGCTGTTCAGCTGTCCGTCAAGCAATTCCTTTGTCTCTGCTCATCTGACATGTCTGCCCCTCCTCCATACCCTCAATCTGAGAATCCTGATAGACGTCCACTACCGCCTGGCTGGGTAACACAGTACGATAGCAAGTAAGCTTCATATCGCTTTATCGTAGCGCGATCAGCTCTTAACTTCTGGATACAGTTACCGAACGTGGTTAGTATCTTCATCTTTCACACTGCCTCTTCAACTCCTTTGACGGTTCATCATTGCGTTACTCAGGTTCTACGTGAACACAGGCGTTAATCCACCAGTAACGACTTGGACTCATCCTCTGGGCGCACCACCGACATCTCCTCCACCCAGTTCTTATGGTCCGCCTGCTGGTCCACCACCTCCCGGTCCCGGCGGTCCAGGGTATGGATACGACCAACGCCAAGGGCAATACCAACCTGGTTATAATAGTGGTTATCAACCGTCTCCGCCTCCTCAGCAGTATTACGGCGGCAGCCCACAACCGCCATATGGCCAGAGTCCTGGCTACGGTGGCCCGGGGTACGGAGGCCCGGGATATGGTGGATATAGGGAGGAAGAGAACAGAGGCAAGCAATACTCGTTGTATAGATCCGATGACAATCCGAGCTTATTGATATTTTTCCTCGGTTGTTCCTAGGCTTCTTCAATCGTCCAAGTAGCAACGCTCCTCAACAAGCCTACGCCTCAAGTCCTCCTCCTCCTCCCAAAAAATCTGGTATGGGTATGGGAACCATGCTCGGTGTGGGTGCTGCAGGATTAGTAGGCGGTGCACTCATTGGAGAGATGATCGAACATCATGAGGATGAAGAACGATTCGACGCTTATCAGGACGGCAAGTATCTTCGAATCCTTCTGATTCGATCATGTTCGATGCTCACGATAACTTCATGTGAATATCACAGGTGTTCAACAAGGCCAAATGGATGATTACGATAATGGTGGATTCGGTGGTGGGGATGACTTTGGTGGTGGGGGTGATTGGTAGATGTGCATTTCCATTTTCCAGGTTGCTCACATTGTTTCAAATGCATTCTTGCTCCTCTCATATATGTCGAAATTTTAGCACTTCAGCTTGTATAGTCTCTTTCTCATCGCAGTATCGTTCGGTTTGTTTGTCACCCCTATTGCAGTAGTATAGTTGGCTTGTACGAATTCTAATTGCGTCGAAAGTTACGCATCGATTGGCAAACAGTCCTCATTGGGAAGTCAATTCATAGACAATGGTTCTTCATGTTCTCATCACTTTTAGTACAATGAACAGTAGAATATCATATACTAATGTGAGACGCGTAAACCTCTGGGTAAGTAGGATTATCAGTGAACTCATCGATATATGCATGCAGATGTAGTACATACCATTCGGGGCTGCAAAAATCAAAGCGGAGAACAAGTGAACGAGCTCGTCAAGTCGTTAAAGTCCTGTTGAGCGGCAGCAATTCCTGGAACGAAACTCATATCCCAAGTCCCACTCGTCAGAACCACAGCATCTTGCGAACCCAGGGTTCCGAAGCATCCGAAAGCCCTAGTAGAACAAGTATGGGATATCGTCAGTACATTATTTCTCCAGCCTCGAGAATTTCAACCTACTCGTAGAAGGTACACACAAATCCATCAGGCACTTCGACAACAGTGACCTCCTTGTTCAAAAAGCTCAAACCTCCGACGAGGTTTGTACAATCATCGGAGACGACAGGGATGGTGAGACATCCTACAGGTGGACTTCCCGCACCCGAGCAAACGTTTATCGTCGCTGGAGCAAGCTAACGAAGATCGTTAATGAACAAAGTTGTCCTCGAGAGAGAAGATTAACGCTTCCACGTACCGCAGCGGCTGAGACGGTCTGGACACCGACAAGAGCAGCAAAGACAGCGGAGATGATTGTGGTGGAGAACATGTTGTTGAAAATGTGAACTTGCAAAAGTTATCGAGGTGTGAAACGGTAGAGGTGCGATGACTGGGAGTCAACTGCTGCAGAACAACGAGCCAACGCAGTTGGCTTTTATACCAGTCTCGCTGCATCGATATCCGTTCTGGTTTTGCGACAACCACTGTCTTCAGAGGTATTTTTGTCTCGGCAGGCAGACAGCAGTCGACCTGCACCTCGGGGTATACGATGTATCATTGTACGTGCCTACAGGTACCCCACAGGTCCCTACCGATGCTACGAATGGTAATATTGAGCTTTTGTGAAGATCCGAAGGCGGTATCCAGTCGATGTTAGGGTGTTAGGGCAGAATGTTGTCGAAAAGGTCAAAGAAAACTGCTTCTAATGTTGATGGATGGATGTGGAGAAAGAATGCAAGAGGTACGCGAAATGCAAGTACAGATTCCAGAAGGCTCCATCTGTGATGGGAACTGATGGGGATCGGCCGAGGCCAATGCCGTGGCTACGGCTTGATTGCCTGCCGAGAGTTTCATTGTGATGGCCGCAATCCGCATTCATTCAACCGTCAACGTCAACTTTTGTGTGGCCTCAAATTCTGATTTCCTTTGGTAGAATATTGCATTTGGAGTTGCATCGTCAAAGGCAGCCCCGAATATGCAGATCAAGCTAATCGGTCAAGCTGCAATCATGCAGTCGTCGTCGTGGTTTGTAGATTAAAGAGGTAATTACAACAATTTGCGAACAGGCTGCCTCAAAATCCCGATGGAGCGAAGCTCTAGACTAGACGGGAGAAGGGCCCCTCTTGAATTCATGAACCCACTCACCTGCGCGTGCTCACTTTATCTTACAATGGCAGCGTTGAACAAGTCGATCAATGATATAGACGCAACGGAGATGATTGCCCCAAATTTTTACCTCCTATCATCGAGTTGTATGGTGGTACCAGAGGGTGCCAGTATGTGCTGAAAATATACCAGCGATGGTTAGCCAGTGGTCAATGACTTGAAATTGACGTGCTGATGATTTACCACACTGCCCAGTGACTGGTAGTGGCACATCATGGAAGTTCAAGTCTAAGTCCGCCATGCTGAACGAATCAGAGTACCTTGAAGACGGAACCCATAGGCCCAACAATTTTCTGGACCTGCTACGCCGCACACAAACGGTCCAGATATTTCTCAAATTTCACTTTCAATGTGCAGTCCGAGAGGCCTCTCTTTTTTTACATTCACTCATCCTCTCATCGGATTGACGCAGAAATATCGAAGAATGAATCTATATTTTCTCGTGTTCACAACACCGTGAGTATAGCGACTAGAGTATATACTGATGCGAGACCCTTTAGGTGAGTAGGATAATCAGCGAACTCGTTCAAATATGCATGCTGACTGAGGTACATACCACTTGTGACCGGTTGACGGGTGCGGCGAAAAATCAAAGCGGAGAGCAAGTGAAAGAGCTCGCCATGTCGTTGAAGTTCACAGTCGAAGCTATTCCTGGAACGGAGCTCATATCCCAGGTTCCACTGGTCAGGACCACAGCATCTTGCGTGTTCTGGGTGCCGAAGCATCCGAAAGCCCTGGAACAAACGAACGTGGATATCATTAGTATTTCCACCGGTGATAAACATGCCCAGCCTCAAAGAACTGAACTGAACGTACTCATAGAAAGTGCAGACAAAGCCATCGGGTACTTCAACGATAGTGACCTCCTTATTCAAGAAGCTCAAACCTCCGGTGAAGTCTGTGCATTCATCAGACACGACGGGGATAGTGACGCATCCCTGAGGTGGGTTCCCGGCACCAGTGCAAACGGTTATCGTTGCTGGGGCAAGCTATCAAAATCGACGATGAACAAAGTTGTCGTCAATGTCAAATCCACGCTCTACACGTACCGCGGCGGCTGAGACGGCCTGGGCACCGACGAGGGCAGCAAAGACAGCAGAGAAAACTTTGGTAGAGATCATTTCGAGAGTGTGAGTTATGAAAGGTTATTGAGACTTCAAGTGGAGGTGCGGTGACGAGTCAACTGCTGCAGAAAGCAAGCCATTTGCGTTGGCTTTTATAATTTTCTTCCTTCATTGACATCCGCTTTTGGTTTGCTGTAGCCCCGGCTTGAAGATTCGAACGATGGAATGATGATAGCAATTAACCTTTCTAATGACTCACAAACGATTGAACCCACTCAAAAGCAAGAGCGTAGAATCTTGATGGCTTGAAAGCAGTCTGTCCATTCAGGCATAAATATAACGCCGGTGAATGTAGTAGAGAGAGTACATCTGACTGAGGAAGGAAGGAAAGCACTCGGCTCCACCAAAAGATGGGGTGAAGTTGGAACGCCCATAATCATCATTCCGGGCATCCCGCGAGACTATTGCTGGCAAAGAGAAATATTCAAAGAGATTCGACAATCAAAATGGAATTTCGGACGAAGTGAACTGTGGAATGCGACTGTTGTTCACGATGCTGCCGCTGCACATTGAAGATCAGAACGGAAAAAACCTGGGATGATCATGAATGACTCAGAGATAGATGAAGTTGATGCTGAATTCCACACTGGTCGGACACTTTCCTTTGAGATTATTTAGACATTATTCTTGTCCTTCCATGATAGACGGTTGACAATCCCTATGCAACTTACGCTGTACTGTCTTCGAGGTTCAGGCTTTGTTCCCTTCACACAACACATGTTTGGCGTAGAAAACGTACTTTGCGGAGGACGAGCACAGAAGACGGGTGTCAGAAAGCCCATAGCTCATTGACTATATCCCCGCTGGCACTGGTATCATTGATATCGTCCTCAGCTACCCCATCGTCACCTTCACCGCCTCCGTTTCCACTAGCCGCAGATGGGAACAGCTCGATCTTTCTCTTTTTCCCCTTGGCCAGTTGCGCGGAGGTATCGAACATCAGCTCCAACTCGGTATTGAGTGCTGGCTCTTTTTGATTTTTCGGTTTGCCTCGACATCGAAGAGCTGCGATATGCAATCGTGATGAGTATGGAGGAGCAAGAAAGGGACAGTTGAATGAGAGCAACTCACACTCCCGTATCCGTGATCGAGGAAATCCTCCATCTTATACTCTTCCTTCGTAAACACACCCTCGAAGACTTTAGCCATGCTGGACACCGGTGCATGGTAATGAGAGACTTGAGAATGGAGTTCGAACAAGGAGGAGGACAGAGCGTCTGTCAAGAGTGGGTCGCTTGGATGTACACGTACGTAGGGATCTGGGACGTAACGTATCAAGGAGACAGGTAAGTGTGAGTAGAGGTAGAAAATATCAGTGCACATGAACTGGAATAATCACCTTCATATGGCCCGTTTTGCTCGTCCCATTCACGATGTATCAGTCCCATTAGACCTGGGTGTCTTTTCATCAGGTTCCACACAAAAGGTATCACGATGACAATTGCGGAGGGTGGAGCAGATAGAGAGAGGACAGAAAGTCGTTTGATGAATGATGCAATAAGGGTGAGTGGAAGATGGCTAATGGGGAATCAATCATGTGTGAGACGAATCTGAGTGCATATTCAAGGCAGCAATGTAATTAGAATCATACCTGGAACTGAGGAATACCTCCGCCAGCCTGAAAAATCTCGCTCGATGTTTGAGATGGAGAAGGTCCCGATCAAGAAATGCGTATAGCCGAGTGTAGAACGAAGGGTAGTCTCTGAAATGACGAATAAGTGAGTGTTCTGCGGGCTCAAAAAGCGGAAACGTACAGGTTATATTCTTTCATGAGAATGAACAGCGCGTTGAGAGCCAGAAGACCTGGTGTTCCGCCTGTTGAACAAATCAACCGAAAAAAGAACGTCAGCAAACAAGATATCAGGGGCAACGAGCAGTGTAGATTGAACGAGAGAGGTGAGATATGGTGCATTGTATTCATCGACAGTGAAAAAACAAAGACTGACCATAATCAACACACGCTCCGACCCAATCCATGACTAGCACAGGTCTTGTCATGAACGGCAGCACCCCACGATGCATGACGTTCAACGCACGTACTGCCAAGTCTCTAGTGCGTTCCATGCTGCCGGGCACCGACAGCTTTGGAAGTAGACTCAACCACGCATGGGTGAAGACCGCTCGATGAGACGAAATATTGTGAAGAGATTGATGTAGCGTCAGAGTATGTTTCCGGCCTTTGATTCCTGCAGTCTTTGTTTTGGTGTCTGTGTCTTTGTCCTGCTCATCGAAGAACTTTCTCCAATCGTCTTCGTCCTCTTCTTTGTTCTCGCCCTCGCTTTCGTGATCATCCTCATCTTCATCGGTGTCCATTGCAGCAGATTTCGATGTAGATTTCGATCGAGACTTCTTAGCTTTGGGTGGAGCCCGGCCCATCTCCTCTACCCACCACTTGCCTTCCTTAGAAAGCCGTTCGGGAGAAGTGGGAAACGAGGACGAGGAGGCGAGCTTTTCGAGTATTGATAGCAAGTTTGTTGGAACATAGGGGTGCTTTTTCAGATCGAGGTTGGATAAGATCGTACTGGTGAACATTAGAAATTGAGTGCTGCCTCAGAAGAACGGATAGAGAAAGCACTCACCCAGCTTGACGCAAAAAGAACCACCGTACATCGTCATATAGGCTTAACCAGGTCGAATGAAAGAGTTCCAGGACTTCGACATCGATCAAATTTTCAGAATCATCGTCATTCTCTGCATGGTCTCGATGGGAAGGAGGATTGAAGACCAGGGCATGCACGATCCTCCTAAAATGGGCATTGTGAAATTCAGGTTTTTCTTGGGAGACGGAGGTTGAGAGGTGTTTTTGTATCGAGAACAAAATTTGAAGGGAAGAGGTCTATTGAGAGTAATTATGAGTATGGAGATTGATATTGTTCTGTCGGCAACAAAACCCACTCTTAGAACTTTCTCCTCGTCTTTCAGTAGACCACATAAAAGATCCACATATTCGTTGAGTCGTTCCCAGAGCCAGGCTTTGACGATTTTCGTTTTCTCATCTGCCTTGGAACTCCCTGTCGAGCTCGAATTCAACCTCCCACTGCCAATGATGATGACCCAGACTCGATATAGCGCCCATATAGCTTTGGAGGTTTGCTCTGGGCTTGATGTCGCATTCGCAGCGATCAAATACAGGTCTGCGAGTGGATTTAAGGATTCAGAAACCGTGTTGCCAGACGTAGAAACAGCGAGGGCAGCAGTGAGTTGGCTTTCAATATTGGCAATGGTATTGACATTGGCTCTATTATCTGTGGGCCGTGTAGACGGGCGAGAAGATATTTTCCGTTTCTTGGATGGAGGAGGTAGTGAAGGAATGGGCATCACTGAGATTGAAAACGGTCAGCGCTAACAACACCGCGGCTGGCAGAACCTTTCTACTTCTGGAGAAATCAGTGGAAAATATTTGGGAAAACTCAGATTTCCGACAATCTTTCAATAACTGGAAATCAAGAATTTGGAGCTCTGCAAAAACTTCAGCAAATATATTTTTTGTCAAAACTTTTTCAAAGTTGGAAATTTCCGGTCCACCCCGGGGCGCCCCGGATCGGCGCGGACCAGGGATTTCTAGCATTGGAAAAGTTTTTAAAAAATGGATTTTTCCAAAACACTGCATGCATGACCAAATAAGTGGTCCAAAGTTATACTGAACTTATTTTGAATTCTCGGATAATGGGAAAATCCTAAGTAGTCCCACATATGGTAAAACTTATCTTAAACATATTTTGAAAAATGACCATATATATAAACTTATGGTCAACTTCTGGTAGAAAATCTAATTAAGTTTACCATATATGGTGCTACTTAGTATCTTCCCATTATTCGAGAGTTTAAGATAATTTCATCATAATCTTGGGCCACTTATTTGGTCGTGCATGCAGTGAAAGTTTTTCCGAAGTGGCAAAAGTGACAACTTCACAGCTGAAAATTCTCTACAGAAACACAAATTTCCACAAGATTTTCCTATTCATTTCCAAAAGTAGAAATTTCAGTCCTACCGCGGTGCAATTGGTGGGTGACCCTGGGTGAACCACAGGTGGCACACGTGGCCATCATATTTCTTTGTTTGGACATAAAGACTCATGGGCACATGGTGTAGTTGGTTATCACATCCGCTTAGCAATTGATTGACTTTGCGGGGGGTGCTGGGTTCAATTCCCAGTGTGTCCAATCGACAAAGAGGAGTAAGATTTTTTCCTGAGTGCAAGTCACTGCAAGATGTTTTTAGACATCTCTACCTGTTTCACAATGCTTTTTGCAGATCGAGGATACAGTGATTCCCTTTTAGCTTGGCTAGCCGCAATAGTTGACTCTTGACTCAATTTCGTTTTTCATCTCATCTACAAAAGTCTACAAATGAATAACGAGTTTGTACTAACTACTACTCAAGCTCAAGGACTGTCCGTACGCCTTCAAGAATCATCCGTGTACTGCACATTCAAAACTTTCAGCAAATGTCTATCTCAGAGACGAAAAAACTTACCACTACAGCGAGAGAGTTTGGCCATGGTGTAACAAATTTATTTTCATCCAAGTAGGCATAATTCAGCTCATGCCGTTCATGGTCTTTGAACCTGTTGAGGACACCTGAGTTTCCAGGTGCGCGCTGGACGTCCTTGATGGCGAATATTCCTCGAAGGATATGGGTCATGATCTGCGGTATATTAGTTCAAGTCTTCAAGTAAATGAAAGTCAGAGTGCTTACTTGGACCGTGATGTCTTCTCCCAAGCACCTGAATCCAAAACTTTCAGCACGGCGAATGTTGTTAAACAGCCTAAGACCTTACCGAGAGATGCCATCGCTGATGATATACGTCTTTCCAGTGACATCTCTACGTGCGTTCACGGTATCAGGATCAGGGAATACTTGCTCCTGTAGATGATAAATGAGACAACGATCAGCGAAGAAGCCTCTCGAATGAGAATCGGACTGACATTGCGCCCAGCAGCGTATAAATCTAAGAATACTCTACCATCCTTTTGGATTGTCAATCCATCAGCATTGTGGTCGGATGAAGCAATGCCTGAGAGAGAGAGGGTTAATTATTATAAAGGAGGACTGACATCAGTTGCACGACTCACGATAGACACCCTTGAAAGAAGGATCCAGTCCTAAGAGGAGCGAAGGTTAGCTTTCTTGTTCGAATCCTAAACTTCTGCTTCTCACTTAGCGCTTCCCTGGCATACCCAGCCAAGTCACCCTCCTTGTTACCAGTCAACGCCAACTTTCGGATAACGCTTTCATACTCCGAATCCAGATACAAGTTCACCATATTGGTAGAAGCCACAGAGAGCTCGACACTGCCGACCATGATAGCTAAGAGCACGTTCGCTTGTTCGTTAGGTGATGTGTATCCTAGTTTATGGAGATGTTGGACGATGACATGCTCGACGGGCTTTTTGGATCTGGAGAAGATCGAGAAGATAGAGGATATGGAGAACTGTGGACAGATCACTATCGAACAGAGATACGACCCGCGAATCGACTTACTAATCTCCCCAGAGATCCTCCGAGGCCTTCTTCAATCTTGCCCAGAAGCACTTTCACATGAGATTGGACTTTGTGCTTGAGAACCATCAATTTTGAAAGCTCGACGTCCAAGAAAATGAAACTGAAGAGTTTTCGTTCGTGTCAATTCTTGGCTTCAGGAATTGATAACGTACGAGTATATATCTCCGAGCATGTTGTACAAATCATTCGCCGTGAAGTCACCCTCGTCAGAAGGGTTGCTTTTAATTTTGATACCGCTCTACATCGAAGAAAGCCAGAGTAAGTATGAGACACGACCTCGGAAGAAATCCCACAATAACGAGAACAGACTTACGATATCAGCGACCCAGTGGATCGGGACGGCCTTCAGAACATCCCGAACGAGGTTGACGGACCTGGTCTTGGATCCGGACAGATTGAAGGAGTTACTCTTAATGAGCTTCTGCGTCTTCTCAAAGAAGAACTTGGCTAATTCCGCGGACGCTTCAGGCGTCCCGCTCAGTGCGGTCAGTACGCGTTCTTGCTCCGAGCGGTCCTCCGGTGCACTGAAGAATCTGTGTGAAGGTAGTAAGATTCCCATCCTGAAGACCAACAACTAGAAGTTCGGTAATAACCCACCCCTTTCCAGTGATAACCTCGTTCGCCCTCATCTCATAATGCGCGATGAACTTCGGATCCTTGATAATATTGCCCACTACCGTATAGTCCTTCGCAACCAATCCAGGGTCCCTCTTCGTTGGCCTGTTCATATCATATTGATCCGACAACTTCAGGTCCTTCAAGAAGACCTTCATCGCCTCTGGAGTCATCAACGGGAAGAACGCATATGTGCTGTTTGCAGTGAACTGTTCTGGGAGGGTCCGTAAGAAGAGTCTGGCGAGGGCACTACCGAACCCGTAGCCTTCCGGCTGGCGTTGGCAATCGGCGAAGCCCCAGGCGGTGAGGTTGAAGGGGGTGAAGTCGTGCGTAAAGTAGCGGTCACCTCGGGTGAGGGCTATCGCATCACTGAGGATTGCACGACTGATAGTGTATCCTGAAACAACGAATATAAGAGGAATGTCTTGGAAATTATATTGAAGCACTGACCAGGACATAGACCAGCTCCATCTACAACAGGTTTGGCTTCCTCTGCCTGTAGACCGACGTAGAGTTCCAGATATTCAATGTTACCATAGAGCTTCTCTGCAGCATAAGCAATCTCAGGATTTGAATTCCACTCCAAGAAACTGCTGAAAGCTGGTTGGATACCATGTATATCAGTCGATTTTTCGCAACCAGATCAGAGTGAAACTCACGTTTCAAACCCAGATATTTCCTGAAGTCGTTTAATGAGCACACTCCCCAAGCTCGATTCTGGGTGATACCCAAGATCTCGTGGAGACGCATACATTCTAGAGTTCGACAGTGAATGATGGCAGTATTAACGAGACCACGAAAAGAAGTATACCAGGTGTTCCCCGAGCACGGAAAGCTCCTGCAGGATGTTCCGTTCTAATGCCCATAAGTAGAATCGCGAGAAGCAGATCTTGAACATAACATTACTCACGCATTCTTCAACAGATCAGCTAGATCCTCGTCTTTGAACGTGCCGTCTTCTTGTCTCTGTAAGCTATGTATAACATGTTAGCATGAAATTCTTTGTGTGTCATGTTAGCACCTACTTTCCAAACGTCCAATGACTGATATCCGGTAGATTATCCATCGCTTTCTTTGCTCCCATGTAAAAGTCCCTGGCCGTCAAATCCTCGATGCGCTTGTCAGGCCAAATTTGTTGCATCATCTGCAATGTCCACTGCTCGTCTTCCTTGCTCGTAGTAGCGTGCCACCGGTAGAGACAGTTGAACTAATACTCAAATCTCAACCTTCTGCATAGATTGAAGGCGGAAGGAACACACCTCTACACTGCAGCTGTTTCCTCGTCCCCTCTCGAACTCAGAATGATCGAGGTTCCTCATTTCCTGGAAGAGACGTGTCGTATAAGAACCTGGACGACAACGAATAGAGGAGCGCTTACTCCGAAAGGGTTCAAACTCCAGCTACTGCCTTGTCTGACTAGGCCCAAGATGCATGATACATAGTCGGAGAAGATGACTGACAGATTCTATCATCAGACGACGCTAGAATATATCCTGTTCGGATCCACATACCTGTACCGAACCAGCCACAGTTGCACAAACGTGCTGTTTGGAACAGTTCCTCGTCTTGAGCAGCTCGATCTTTCTCAGAAAGGATAGAGGGGTCCTTATACGTTCTACGCTCGTTGATGTCGAAGAGCTTTTTGGCGATATACTGAATTGCCCACTGTTATCAACGGGCCAGTAAGTAGGACAGAAATGACCTACGTTGTGATTCCGGTTGAAGAGTACCAGCAAGACACACACTGCAGGAGGAAGCAAGAGCAATCTGTCCTCCGCAAACACGTCAGGACGCATAAGTCCCAAGCCAGCTTCTTTATTCCGAACTCGGTCCTGAGTCTCTTGGTTGTGGCCATACAGAGGAGCCAGATCGCAGTAGGACGAAGTTTCGTTGATATTGACGTCGGTATGCGACGTGCGGAAGACACTGGCGTACAGAAGAACACCAAATCAGCAACGGATACGGTGTACAGTGTACACTGCAGCCGAAACGTGGCGCAATATGAATAACGAACCTATGAATGACCAACGCGGCAAACGAGAACATGAGCGAGGATAACCCGGCTGGATGGCCTTGAAACTACATCGAGGCTCAACGTTAGAAGGTTCTTTGGAGCTTGTGGAGATTTGGAGTGAGAGATTCAAATCACGTACACCGTCGCGCTTCAGAAGCCTAAAAAACCAACGTCCATGAGCATGAGCCAATTTAGGTTTTCTTCAGCCTATTTTGGCGACCACTCACGTATCGAAAATCAGGCCTGGATCGGGAAGCTCGCTCGGGGATAACGGGTGGCTCTGCTGTACCGAACGCGCGTACGTTGCCCCAGCTTTTCCTAGATCTGGGTCCCCAATGTTGTTACCGGATCCATCTGCCGACCTCCAGGCGTACTTCTTTCCGATGAGCGTCGCGGGAGGGTGAGAGAGATCGTTATACACTAGAAATTGATTTTAGCAACGGCACCAAATGAACAATTGAGCATCGGCGTGAAGGAGGAGGAAGAAAACGAAGTGAAGGAAGTGAAGGGACGATCAGGAAAAGATAGGAGACAGGATGGATTAAGAAAACATGGGATGCAAAAGGGAAAAAAGGAAGTGTAGTGAGGGGTGAGAAGAAAAGCCGCACGTACATAGCTTGATAACATCATCTTGCATCTTCTGCGCGAAATCGCCAGGAGGCAGTCTGGATAGAAGGGATAGGCCATGCTCAAGCTACAGTTTGGAGCCGCGGTCGTCAGAGGTGACCTCGCCCTGATTCTACACAAAGACAACAACACGTACAGCAAGTTTCCGATCATCAATTGCCTCCTTGTGTCTGATGAAATCAGCTGCAGCTGACTGTTGGAACGCGTCTGAGTTGTCATATGGCGCGAAACATATCGACGATGTCTACGTACCAGTCCAGATTGCTCGAAGGTCAAATGTGGGTTCGCTTTTTTGAACGGAGCTGACGTGCTCGTGGCGTCTGCTGTCCCGTTGGCTGTTCCCTGTGGATGAGTAGTAGATGATTGGGCATGCAAGAGGATGGGGAGCTAGACGCGAACACT